CTGGTCCTCCCAGTCCCCTACATTGTCTGAACATTCCATGGACCTATATTAATTGATGCTCTGATTGTTAGAATGGGCATCGGTCTCGTAACTTCCGAAGAATCTCGGTTTTCACCATGAGGCGTCATAATTCATTTGAAATATCCTTCAACTCCCAGATGAGAGATTAAATTGTTTATTTCGGTCGGTATATTTTAGTGAGGTTATTTTCTACTTGATGGGGTTAATGAACTGATGCCCAACCCTCCTCCATAACAAGAACTTGGGACCGGCAGTAACCCTAGAAGAGCTACAGGAGCTGAATATATTTAGAATTAATAACGGTTTATTTAGACTATCATTGTAACTTATTTTTCAGAATGACAAGGTAAGTAGAAGTCTGTCAAAGGCAGTTATAATGCCTTTGAAAATGAATTTGCCGAAGAGAACTTCGCTGAACCAAGCTTTCTTATCTTGTGTCTCAGTGGGTATATTCCGTTTACCTAATATTTTATGTTTCAGAATAGATCATTTCATTTAAAGTGTACTTTTATACCATAGGTCCTTCTTTTACTACTCTCTCAATAAGTACAAACTTGTAATGCAGTCATAAAATGTAAATGATAACACTCAAGATAGTGTTCATTTGAAAATCTCGCTAACTACATAATATTGCAATATGTGACTTTTACTACTGACATTTTTTAAGTACCATGCTTCTATATCGGAAAACTATTTGTGCTACTGAGTGAATAAACTGTAAGGCATAAATTCATCACAATTAGATGTAATAATTATTTATCAACAGTGAAAACAGACCATTAATTAATACGTAATGTATGGGAGATTCCAATAATACTTAAGATTTGATAAAAGGTATTGAAAATATAAATAGAACAATATCAGCTCACTACAGTGATTGAAATGAGAATAAATCTGTAAGAGCGAAACCATTACACTCATCAGTATTTATTGAAATATCTTTTAATGTGATATTGTGTATGGAGGTATGGTTTAGTTAGATGCACCCCTAAGCATTTCTTACACAAGATCAGAAAAATATATTTCCGTTACTGAACATATGGAAAAAACAGACTAACCCTAACATAACATACTTTTAATATTACCGTCAGTTTGTAGAGTTTATCCAAATACTTTAACCTACTTCCCAATGATTTTCTTAATATGCAATTTAAACTTATAGGTTAAGGAAGTGGAGACAGTCACTTTCGTATCATGTGTATTTCCTGAGGAGATAAGGACTCGTGCGAACCCATAGATGGATAAAACTATTTGTTAAGTCACCTTAAAATTATAAACTGTGAATAACATTATTAAGAACTGCAATCATAAAAATTTCCAAAAAAACTCATTAAACAATGAAATTAATTGACATTCGTTTGGTCAACTAATTCACTTGTCGAAAAGTTAGGTGAAATAGTTATTTTCGATAGGCTGGGAAACTGGTATTTCATTCTGTAATCAACCTTAAGAGTATGTTACATCTGCCCTCACACCTACCGACTCTACTGGCGACTGTGAGTTTAGTACGTCAATCATCATCAATGCTTAGCCTGGTAAAATTTTTAGTTCGTCCACGTCCCTAAAATTTATTAGCACTATAAGATGAAATTTCAAAGATGAGATGTGATAATGTAGTACCAACGATAATAACAAAACTATATAGTTATTATGTTGGATGAAAAGACAAAAGGAATAAGGCCACATGAAGGAATATGAAGAATCAAGATTTAGAGGTACATAAAGGTTGAACGTATATGCGTCATTATTACCGATTATGAACCACGTCACCTAACAACTCAAACGTGTTGCGGTTATCGGGAGGACCCCAAGCGTGTTTAGTAAAATTCGATCTGGGTTAAGTCAGTTAAATCGACATATTCATAACACCGAATATATTAATTTCTTCACTTGCAACTTATATTCTATCAGTTTAATGCATCACACCTGTTATAACTTCAAAAAACCATCCCGAGTTAAACTTTTAGTCAGTTTCGCTCCTACATATCCTGTAATTTACTAAGAAACACTAAAATAATGCTGAGGAGGAAAGGTGGTTTATTGCACTTTCAACAAAAGTCTCTTCAATAGTCTATTATTAACTACAAGTGCTAATAAAACATCAATCAAATAGGATTTTCCCCAAACGTTCGATTTTTCTTACGTTAAATTATAATGATTAAACATAAAAATTAAATGAGTATGGGGATTTGTAGAGATTTTAGTAGTTTCACAGTTGAAATCACGAGTTGATAGAAGCTAGACCACCATTAAAAAACTCGGGAAGCACTGGATGGTCGTTTCGTCCTAGTATGGGACTCCAGTAATGCATATCCACCATCCCACACGCAGGACTTGAACTCAGGACCTTCAGTCTCAAGGTTAAGAGTTCGTGCACGAGTCCAAGTTCTGTGTGCAAGATCGTGGATGCGCGCTGCTGGAGTCCCATACTAGGACGAAACCCCCATCGAGTGCTTCCAGGTTTTCAATGGTGGTCTAGCTTAGATCAACTCATGATTTCAACTATGAACATAAAAATTAAATTATTCATTATCACATTTATCATATTTCAGATAACATTAAGTTGTATAGATATAAAACTGTATTATATGATAGCACCAAAAATTTACTACATCATAATTTCTATCTTGTATCACCAAATTCCATAAGTGTTTAGGTTAAAACATCAGTCTACGAAAAACTATTTCGTAGATCATATGATTTTCAAAGTATACTCTAAAGTCTATTACTATTTGTACCTAGATTACTCTATTAACTTACTTTCGTGATCTGATTGGTTAGATGAAGCTAAAATTATGCTAAAATTCAATCAATATATATAAATGTTTAGGTAACTGATTGGTTTATGAAATATTGATTTATGAAAAATGTAATGTACTTTGAATTTTTCTATAACACAAGTTTTATCGTACGACACTGTCAATTTTAAATTAGACAAAGTTTTTTTATTTATCTGGTCACGTAAACATAACATTTTTGACAATTAACTATAGTGATATTAGTCGATTAGATCACAGAATTGAAACATACAAAATAATATTTAACAATCAAAGAGACAGAATTGCAGTTATACTAATTTGAATATTGTAATACAACCAAAAAAAGGAATATATGCTCTAACAATGATCACTGTAGAATATTATCTTTAGTCCGAAAATCAAGTACATGCAAATAAAACGACCATAGATTACAATAATCTAGAAACCTCTTTTTGAGGTTCACGGATTCATTACTAGAGTGTATATATTTGGCTTCTAGATAATTAATACTAAGTTCATAATTAAGATACAAGTTGATCAAAATATAGACAAGAATGTTAATAGCTAAATATCCAACAAAATTATAGTGAATGCATGAGCAGTTATTTGATAAGTAGCTACCACTAACATCAAGTACACAATATTAAAGCTATAGATTCTGGGGGATAAACATTTACTAATTAGTTAAACACATCTAAGCTGTGTCATTCATCAGACAGCTAAATCTGTTTTAGGTCATGTATTTTGGTCGATAGCTAGATACGAAAGTTGTCGCCAAGTAATAGCTGATCCTAACAATGGGCTCTGTCATTTACATTTTGTTCGATAAAAATATAATTTCTTATCCTCAACTGTAAAACCATTGAAAAATGAAAGGGATTGGACAGGTGTTACATGTTGATGATCACCGAACAATAATTGTGACCGATCCTATAACATCTAGTTATTAAGGTGAGCATAATACATCTACGTAATTAAAACAAATTGAAAATCTTCACATTAACTTTAATTAATTTGGGATACGACGTGATCTACACATAGTATCAGTAATGGATTACTGTTTTATTCTCTACTAGGTTGTCTTCACTGGCTACGGCTTACTACTATTGGATTAGCCTTCTGCTTTTGGTGTGTTTACGAGGTGTGGCTAATTGAATTGATATATGTTTTTGTTTGATCCTGTTTACTTTCCGACTGGCTGAACTCAGTACTGTAGGCAGACAAAGTCCAGAAGTAGCTAATAATCAAGGATTTCCATATTATTCTGGTAATTATAGAGTATTTACGTTGATTCTGGCCGTAATCAATACTCCATTGGTCATTTATTATTAGTAGTGGTCGCTCAACCCGCCCACAATCCCTGATATCTAAGGGAAAGGACGCATTATTGCAAAAAGCAAACGAATAAATACATCCAGTACTTTTTAATTTCCTGACAGAATTCATCAGTCATTAAGACTGCTAAGATTAACAACTGATAGTATAATGAATTTGTCTGTTTATCCTTAGGCATCTAGTCCATTCGAATATAATTCGACATAACAGATTTTAACAATGTGAAGCATATCTAAAACAGATCGATCATTATATGTTCCAAATCAAGTCGTTTATTCTGTTCTTAAAGTATGTCCAATCACTGATTTGTTAGTAGCCCTACCACAGTTAAACAATGCTTTGAAAGAACTTATGCATCTAAAACTTTAGTATTTTCATATTATCTTTTGAAGCAGAAACTTATGTACGTAGAATCTAACCTGGTGTAAAATTCTAAGTCTTCGACAGAGAAGCTAACACCGCATCTACACTGGGCTGTGTGATTTTTTGAACATGAGTGACCTATATAGGCAAGTGACTTGGACAGTTGGTAGGTTCAACCTGATCGCTCTCTACTGTCGAATCAATCATGAAGCTGGGGAAAATTATTGACCATCGTTTTGCATTCAGCAAGTAAACATGTACCACACATTTTCAGGTCTTCCTTTCGGATTTTCTCCTGCCTCTCCATTAAACAGTTTGTGTTCTGCGAGTTTATGGAAAAACCTCTTAATAAAAGACTAAATCCTGTCAATCGAAAGAAATATCACTTTTGAATCACATACATGGATTCAAAAGAATACAGAGTTGATGAAGGTTGCTAGACGTAGTTAACCTAAGTAGTAGTTTATCATAGACCCTGTCCGAGGAAATCACTCATCCTGTTTTTTTCCTTCATTTTATTTTGCCACAGATATCCTACAAGAAGTGATTTTATTAGTAAGATTTCTCAAATACTTTATCTAGAAACTCTTTTATAGGTTTGAAGTACTCAAGTGATACATTTACGTTCTAAAGAGGCGCTGAAATAACGGTTTTCGGACACTGAGTGATGATAATTAATTAGATGTAGTTTCCTCCCTTCAAATACAAAATATTGCTTCAACACTAACAGATTGGTGAATAAGCGAATTCAAGCACACACATAAAAATCTAGATTAAGTTTAACAAGAAACATCATTTATCGTTTGCGTAAGACGTCCATTTACCTTTCAAAGGGGGATCATGCTGAACAGCAGTCCACTTCGCATTACCTTACAGTTGCAGAGGTATAAGGCATGTATAGCTTATTTGTATTGAACTGCAACTGCCTTCAATGAGCCTCTGATACACTGTGAAATGATGGATTTAGATGTGGAGTACTAAGACAAGGTGATAATTTAGTTAGTAGTCGTAAAATCGTATGACTTTTTCAGTTGAGACATCTGTTATCCTTACAGATACATCATGTACGCGTTATCGTGGGTAACATGGCTTTACATCTAAAGGTTTAATACAACTTAACAAAGATATGGGATTAATTCATTCTATTAATTCAATTAGCATAGAGTTGAAGTCTTGATTGTAGGTGGTTTGAAATAGAACAGTAACCATAACATTAGCATAAGTAGCTCAAAAATGGTAATGTCGGAACAGACACATTCATTTTCCCAACTCTTGACCGTATTATTATACCGGCGATTAACACCTACTAACCACAGTTAAGTGCTACGACTACGTTACTCCTTTTCAGTGTTCACAGGGAAAATATTGTTATTTTCAGCTTCTTATCTTTTTGCGAATTTAGTCTCATTATGCTGAGGTGAAATGTGGTAATGTAAACTGATGTATACATCTGCCATTTTCTACGTCGATTATATCTATTTGTTTAACGCTTTTCAATAAAAGATGCTATCACAAGACCTCTCGATCAACGCAATTGGACATAGTCTTAGTCCGTTGAGTTTTATTATGTCTCGAGACGACGATTGGTCGATACATTTCGAGCCAAACCTAAGATGTATCTGATCTACCCAAGGTTTCCTATCCCTATGTTCTAATCAAATGTCTAATGGGCAAAGATGCCTAAAAACCATGCTAGTTAAGCTGACTCTTCTGTGATTATCATAAAGTGATAGGTTTTTTTCTCATAAACTTAAGTTGCCAGCGATTGAAAGCATGGAATTATGATCATCTAACCAGCACGCCCAAATTGTAGTCCAAAGTCGGACATCTGAAGTGAAATCGAAGAAGACTGTTATCCTAAACACTTCAAGTGCCTTGTGACTTTCTGAATCAGAGACGAAGGGTCAGTATACCATTAATGTCGATAGTACGAAACTGAAAATCAACTAATGGTCAGCTTAGCTAGTTTTAGGTATCCTATCAATTGTTCTAGTAATATGGTAGTGGAATAAGTCGCCAGTTTAGCTCTCCGTTATATTCTCAAACCTCCGTATGTTTAAATATGCTCTTAAGTCTGTTGCTATTATATCAGAAAGTGACCAACCAGAAGGCATTAGTGTATGAGACCAAGCCGTCTTTATTTTGCTTCTCAAGCCTTAGGCCAAAAACAGAGATGAGTAACATAAGTATTCCGAATCCCCCAGTTAGTGAATATTTAAGGCTTCATTCGAATTAAGTAATTCAAGAACGTTCAAAACACTGAATGTAGACATATCCAGAGCCCCTCCAATGATAAGTGTCAAAAGAAATAAAGGTACATGCATCATCTAAGGATCTCCAGCTCTGATTAGTGATTCGGAGCAGCTTTTCTCAACAAAGGGCTTCGAACACCACTCCCAACCCTTATCCTTTATCCGGATTTAGACCGACAGAAGTCCCAGATGAGTTTAAGGACGAAAGATTTCCGTAATGTAAGATGTTCAGTGATACTGCTAGACGAAGTTATTGAAATTATAAAGTGAGACTAGAGAAGATCCTACTAGTCGTAAATAAAAATTCAAGCTAATACTTAACCAGTTAACGCCTAAGAGGAATATTGATATCAACATCCCACGTCTAAGGAGACTAGGATTTTCTTGTAGCCTAGAAATTAAGAACCAGTACAAACTGAAAGCCTGTTTATACGTTAACGGACGACTAATAAGCATTATCAATCAAACTATTGAATAAACTAACAGCAGTATTGTAAACAAACGTGGAAATACCAGACGCTCGCTTTACTTTCAGGTTATCGAACTGTCGCACAACGGCTATTGATACTAGGTTCGGGCGAAGACATCAAGCCCCAAACTGTAAAAGCTAAGACGATGCTGACACGTTAGGCATAACGAACGATTGCGCACAACCTCATACAATGCAGGACTACGTTATCACACTTATATTTGACGAGGTTGAGAAAAGTTGATAAGGCAATGAGACAAATGACACCTTCTCAATCATGAAGAGCTCCTAGAAACAAACGCGCTAGTCCCGTTAAAATGACATCAAGCCACGCCGCAAAACTTACTAAGATATTTATTTGAAAACTGGTTTTCACTAAAGATACCGGTCAAAAGTCTGGCCGATTATCATTGAAAAGATGAGCACACACAGTCCTCGGTGTCTTTAACCTCCTGCGCTTGCCTCACCATTCACGCCCCATTCTCATGATAAGACGGAATTATCAAAACAATACCCAAGTTATCAGGAGTAGTGATTGCAATGGTGACAAAAGGAACAAGCATAGCAGATAGCTTGGGAAAGTATAGACTAATAATTAAAACTTCGATCTAGAATCAAAGGGAAGATGACATAAACGCGCCCGGGCTACTGCGAACTATTTTTAGATATGTCAACCAGTCTCTAGCCACTGTTAAAAACGATTACTCGGACCTCAGCCAGGTAGTCTGAACTCCGCACGTTACCCGGACAATCATGAAGAGAATATATATATATTCGGCTAATCTAGAGCATGTAAACTTTTCCACGAGACTTGTTACAAACATTAATTACGAGTTGACAAGACCGCACGTACACTTCAGCACACGAGTCCGGGCAGGCAATAACAGACGACAAACATTCAAGTTAGCAATGCGACCAACGCAGTAAGATCAAGGACGGAAATATGGATACAAGCAATACGACACTAATCCTAATAAAATCAGGACATCGAAACTTAATAAATTCAGGTAACTGGCATAAGGTAACTCGATAGGCTTAATTGCATAACACCAGCAAATCTACATTGATTAGGAGTCACAGTTACACTAGACACACACACGAAGAATCAAGAACAAAACAAATAGAGAACTAAGTTAAATTAAAAGTTTATTAAGGTAAATGAACTGAAATAAAATTAACCTCCACGAAGACGCAACACCAAGTGAAGAGTGGACTCTTTCTGGATATTGTAATCAGACAATGTACGACCATCTTCCAGCTGCTTTCCAGCAAAGATCAGACGCTGTTGATCGGGTGGAATTCCTTCTTTATCTTGGATCTTAGCCTTCACATTCTCAATGGTGTCACTCGGTTCGACTTCCAAAGTGATCGTTTTACCAGTCAATGTCTTCACAAAAATCTGCATACCACCACGAAGACGCAACACCAAGTGAAGAGTGGACTCTTTCTGGATATTGTAATCAGACAATGTACGACCATCTTCCAGCTGCTTTCCAGCAAAGATCAGACGCTGTTGATCGGGTGGAATTCCTTCTTTATCTTGGATCTTAGCCTTCACATTCTCAATGGTGTCACTCGGTTCGACTTCCAAAGTGATCGTTTTACCAGTCAATGTCTTCACAAAAATCTGCATACCACCACGAAGACGCAACACCAAGTGAAGAGTGGACTCTTTCTGGATATTGTAATCAGACAATGTACGACCATCTTCCAGCTGCTTTCCAGCAAAGATCAGACGCTGTTGATCGGGTGGAATTCCTTCTTTATCTTGGATCTTAGCCTTCACATTCTCAATGGTGTCACTCGGTTCGACTTCCAAAGTGATCGTTTTACCAGTCAATGTCTTCACAAAAATCTGCATACCACCACGAAGACGCAACACCAAGTGAAGAGTGGACTCTTTCTGGATATTGTAATCAGACAATGTACGACCATCTTCCAGCTGCTTTCCAGCAAAGATCAGACGCTGTTGATCGGGTGGAATTCCTTCTTTATCTTGGATCTTAGCCTTCACATTCTCAATGGTGTCACTCGGTTCGACTTCCAAAGTGATCGTTTTACCAGTCAATGTCTTCACAAAAATCTGCATACCACCACGAAGACGCAACACCAAGTGAAGAGTGGACTCTTTCTGGATATTGTAATCAGACAATGTACGACCATCTTCCAGCTGCTTTCCAGCAAAGATCAGACGCTGTTGATCGGGTGGAATTCCTTCTTTATCTTGGATCTTAGCCTTCACATTCTCAATGGTGTCACTCGGTTCGACTTCCAAAGTGATCGTTTTACCAGTCAATGTCTTCACAAAAATCTGCATACCACCACGAAGACGCAACACCAAGTGAAGAGTGGACTCTTTCTGGATATTGTAATCAGACAATGTACGACCATCTTCCAGCTGCTTTCCAGCAAAGATCAGACGCTGTTGATCGGGTGGAATTCCTTCTTTATCTTGGATCTTAGCCTTCACATTCTCAATGGTGTCACTCGGTTCGACTTCCAAAGTGATCGTTTTACCAGTCAATGTCTTTACAAATATCTGCATCTCCAAGTCTAGTGTAAACTGAGGAACAAATATGGAACACTTTCGATCTTGAAGGCTATATATATCTTACTTTCAGTTATTGCAACGCTACTTCTAATTTAGATCAGTAAAACAACATGCCTACCAAAGTGATTTCCGAAAATTGTTCTATACGAATCAAACCCTGTTTATTTCGATGTGAAAAGTTATTGTTAGCCAGCATCTTGTTATTCATGTATTACATTTCTCGAGTTAATGGATGACGATATTCAAGGTATAAATATAAATTATAATTTACCTTGTCATCCATATGGGTCTTAGTTCACATGAGGCCATTACGTTTTAAGAGCAGTTAATTACTGGGGATATACTTCGTAACATCTGCAAATCTTTCTTATGAATGCTTCTGTACATATAAATTAACTGGGAATCAATCGTTTTACTCTCCGTATTCTAAAGCTTTGTAGAGTGTCTTACTAGCGTATCTCCGACCTAGATCAGTGAAGTATTTCCAGATTCTTCTGGAAGTATCGTAGTTGAAGGACTCTTCAATAAAAAAACACGTAGATGTGCTCTATTAAGGCATTATAATTGTCCCGAAACTACAAGCAGACGCGAAATCTAAAGACCCGATCCACAACGGTTGAGAGCAAAACTTCACACAACTGCCCCCATCGGTTATGAAAATTTCGATTAACTGAAGTGTTACGACCGTCCGATTAGGCCGTGACCCTTGGATTTTGACCGATTATCACTACCGTCATATTGGTACAAACGTCATTTATTAATTTCTTATCACTCAAATTAGTCGAAAGCTGACCATCATTCATTATAAGTGTTAAGACAAACTCCAGTGCTGAAATTCAGCGTGGAAATTCGGTTATGGATGGCATAATCCCTTATCTAAAACTCTAAGATTTCATATAATAGTGTAGCGGTAAATAAATCCACAAAATAAATAGCCCTGTAAGTTTTCGACATTGGATACTGACCATATGTTTTAGTGGACTCATCTAGCTAAAGGCGCTCGGTCAGGCATCCGCACCAGATCACGTGTGGTAACGCCGTGCTCAACATTAACCGCAATCGCTAGCCAGATTAGACCAGATAATTCCGATATTTTGGTCATCGCCAAATACACTCTTCCGATCTCCTCGACTCTGTCCTTTGTTTTCTCTCGGTGGGTACAAATCATATTAGAAGGTGTTGCTGGTAAAAGCGTTGTCAAACACTGAATACCTGTGTCATCCTTCAGTAGTCTGAAGATATTCGAATCTTTTCTAAATTAACTCCTCAGACCACATATATAACGGAGGAGTTGAGTTCAGTAATAGAGATAATTCAAACCCGGAGAAAAATTAAGGAGCATCATAGGCTTTGATTCCCTGGGGTTAGTGACCTTCTCAGGCTCAGGAATGAGAAACAGGTTGTGTGTGGTTAGTAACTGTAACCCGCAAGAAGGAATATTTCTGGAACACATTTACCAGATAAATCATTTAAATCCTCCCTTGGGAGTCCCGTAATCTTACAACTGCGTGTGGTGAAATCTGAAATTCTTCAGGAGTCGCAAAACCGATGGCTGTCATAATGACCAGAGCGACAACTAATATCGAAACGTGAAGTGTCCAGACAGTGTTGAGACCGTTCAGATCGTGATTGACTGAGGAGAAATAATCCGGCGACGATTGAAATAAGTGAAATCAAATTGAACCAAGCTGGACAAGAAAGATTACAGTTGGGAGACATGTAGTAGCTTTTTGTCATAGAGAGCTGCACCAAAGTTGCATAGAGAAGGTTTTATGGCATTACGGTGTCGGAGGTTCATGGCTCTTGGTCCAAAGAAACACTCACTCAAAAAATGTCAGAAAGAACTACAATATATCGCCGTGTTTCACACACAAATTATGGCAGCAAAGATTATAAAACCCAGTTTTATTAAATACTGTAGGTTCTCTTTGTCGTGGAGAAATATACAGCATGAAAAGATTACTCGGATGAGAAGCTTGAATTCCAAAGTAGAGATGGGCATCACACATGAAAGCACCATGGGGCGATATGAACTTGTAAATAAGACTGAGAAATGCGGAAAATAATTGTAATACCATTAATTTTTTCAAATGCTTATTGTTGTGCCTGGTTATCGGGGTTCAGTACGGCTTAAGATGTTGCGGATTTAGAAACGAAAGAAGCTTCTCTAATAAGATTGATTCTCTTCATAAACGACAACAGTCAATTATACTCAGTACATCAAACTTCGATGGCTAAGACAGGAAGAAAACGTAAATTGCAGGTAACCTAGTGTTGGGGACGATAGATCCCCAAAACTCAAATTTTGTAATTTACTTATCGATTAAATGTGCAGATAGGTCAATTGATGAACTATCGATTAAATGTCCAAATACCATTCAATTGTTGATTAATGTTCAAAAATCTTCCATGACAATATCGATTGTAAATATTTGTATAAATACGCTTCATTTGTGTGTTTGATTTGACTTGTTATCTGCTGTTTGTTTGTAGAATAAACTTTCTACAACTTACCCAGACTTTTTGATCGAGTTAGCAGAGTTGGGGACAACGGACCAGAATAGTCTATCGAGATTCTGGATCCTTGATCCGATCGATAAGTCACTGTCATATAATCGGCTGTCACTTTGAGCCATAACACCTAGTATTTGAGGTGGAACAAGCAACTCAGACGAAGTTGGTGCAAAATTTGTTACTGAAGTCGCATATCATGACTTTTGGGCATGTAGAAATCTAGCGAAGTACAAAAACATGACAACCGATCAGAGGGTAAAGGTCATGCGGAAATCTAATTCGTAGAAATATGAAAGCGGTTGTCGTTCCAGAAGAGATTTTAGCCTTTCTAATAAAACAAAATTCCTGTGGATTTTTGTGATACTGATCTTGTCCTGCTTTGTGTCATTCTTGATTCTTCCCTTGGAAGATCTACACGTCCGCGTCCAGGTCTGAAACCAGCCTGGTTTATCCGAGTTTACTGTTTACGAGCACTAAACTAGGGTTAAAGGATAATCGAGACTTATATTTTAGATATATTAATCTAAAGGATTCCTCTGCGACTGTCACAAGACGGATTTTTCTCATTTCGAGACCAGTTAGGTGGGATTACATTCAGTTATCCGACTGGGCGATATAAAATGGGAATTAGGAAGGAGAAAATTAGAAAATGAATAGATTGATGCACCTTTAACAACATGGTTATAAGTAAAATCACTTTCCTCTTCAAACGCTTACACAGAGTAACATGGGTTTTACGAGACCACACTATACAGAACAAGATTGATCACGTTTGCATCGATAAAATGATTCAGAAGTTCATTGGGGAATGTGTAAAGAGAGGAGTCGACATAATTTCAGATCAATACCTGCTGGTAGCCAAGTTGAAACTGAAAACAAATAAGCATTGAACACCGGAGTAAGCAGCACTACGGTCTTTCTCCAAGAAATCAACTAATCGAAATCAAGATAATTTTTAGTAACAAGTTCCGGGCCTCATAATATCTTCCAGAAAGAGAAGAAGCCAGTATGGATAACGATTATGAAAGAAACTGGAGGGACAATAGCTTTAATATGCCAACATGTCCTGAGACTCAAGAAACGACGGTGTGAAGAATGGATCTCAGCAGACAGTCCGAGCGAGTTTTCAAAAAGGAGGACCAACAACAGCCAATCGGGAGTATAAGCCAGGCGACAAGCTGAACATATGCTAGCAAGCAAGCAAGTGAAGAAGCGGAAATATCCAAAAGGACTGGCAACTACATCAGAAGAAGCTGCGACATGAGAACATATTAGAGAACTATGTGGCACAGCCGAGGAGCCATCAGGAACATACTGTAGACTAAAGTGATCAGTTAGGAATAGAGAAGAAATACTAATCACTGAGTTTCAAGAGTTGTGGAAAACATGTGAAGAACGCTTTGCAGAGCTGGTGAATAGGCCAGTGTCACTGAACTCACTGGCCGTCGCAGAAACTCACACCAACCTCCCTGTAAGTGTTACCGCAGCAACAATAGAAGAAATAAGCACAACTATCGAACCAATCTTTTGATTTGTTCACCGGACAAATCAAAAATGCCAAAGAGGAAGGACTAGATAGCATACCGAATGAAGCACTGAAACGATGCGGATAAGTAACTGTGAAGATTGTGCAATTTTCTTTAGAAGTATTTGGGGGGAAGGACAATTAACAGCAGACTGAAAAAGTGGATATCTTACCAGGATACCGAGAGAAGTAAACCTTGGTGAGAGTATTAACTATAGATATATCCCATTTCTGTCAATATCGTACTAGACTGAATAACAGATTCAGTATGCACTCATCATCGAAATCAGGTAGCTGGATTCCGTAAGGACCGACCAAACACCCACCAAATCGTGGTATTATGGATAACTGCTGGACAAGTAATTGAAAAGAGCCAATACATATATATTGGTTTCCATAATCATGAAAACGAATTAGACAGCGTGGATAGGAGAGCGTTATAAAATCTTCTTCGACATTGCGGAGCACCTTAATAGAAGAATAATCACCGCTTAGCCTTCCGCTCCCACACACGACAACATATGTAGATAAAGGCTACCAGTGCACTAACGGCTTCAGTAGAAATATACACCGACATTCACAGCGATAACAGCACGATCATAAAATATGACACAGAAAGAGAAACCAAATCGCAATTGATGACGAAGCTCTAGCACAGGTGGAGGCTTCATATGCTTGGGTAGAATCATTGATAAACATTGGCTATTCCATGCAAATGTTAACTCGCGGATTCGACACTCAAAACAAATGTTGCTCAATAGAATGTCAGAATCTTCAATACTAATGTTAAGAGGGTTCTGTAGTGGCATTGGACAATAGCCACACAATCCACAAAGCTGTGAACACGAGACTACTCAGAAAATAAATATTCAATATTTAACGCCGAGAAATACCTAACAATGGAGAAGGCGCGAACAAGGAATTGAATGGACTGGAGTTGATCGAGTGGCATGGCTCGTCCATGCAGACGTGGTCCATCTCAGTGTTACTTTATATCTTCTATTCATATTAAATATATTGTTCTTTCTCTAGCCTAACCTT